TTATTTTCTTGAAAAGCAGAGCCATTACCACTACAGGAGCTGGAAGATACAAACACCTCTAGTTTTCCTGTAACACGAGTCTCCTTCAAATAACATTCACACATCCCTTCCAGTAAACTGTTTCCCGATGACCTCAACAGTACCATTTCCCCACTCCAGTCATATTCACTTCACACCGAATAAAAATACAATGTTCAGAATGCACATGCCAAATAATAAACTGGTAAGTCGAATTATTTAGTTTCAGATGACATGACTGGTTGTTTATGGGTTTGGGGAATAATTAAAGATCTCAAACTTGCTTCTGGATTCTTTCCCTGAGAGATCATGATAACAGTTCTTAACTGCACCACTTCGCTGCAGCTTTAAAAACATGAGGGGCAAAAATGCACTTTAATAACCTTAACTAGGAAGCAAGCCTACATAATCTTTGTTCTCTCACCAAGAGTCTCTGCACTTCAGGTTTCAGACTAAATGCTGACACAGGTGGCATCATTACAAGACAAATCAAGAATATGATAATCCAGATGAAGAGGCTAAAATCCTCTGGACTCCCTTTCAGTCTGAATAAACCTATAAAATCTACATTTAATAGCTGATTTTCCAGAGATCGAAAGATTTCTTTTTACACATACCCTTGATGGAATTAATGAGAGAAAAGCATATGCGTAAATGCCTGGGGGCAACTATAAGAAAGAAAGAAATTACAGTTTATTAATGTAATTCCAGCACTCATAACATACTGCTTGCACTAAATATTCCAAAAATAACATGCACTACATAATCAAGTCTCTGTAACTAATATGCTTATAGACTTTCTGAGGGTGATATTTACTAACTAAATAATGGTCAAAATAATAGCTAACATTTAGACATCTGCTTTTAAAAGAAGCATCCCTTCCACCTGCTTCTACAGGCCACAAAGATACACTCTAGTTAACATATTACTGACAGGATGATGAGAAAGCTCCTGTCAGATGCTGGCCAGCCGGGTGTTTGAGACAAAATGCACAGCCCCAGCTGACTAGTTAGAGAAAGTCTGGTGAGGTACAATTATAGAGGCATATGACAAGGCTTCATGCCTGGCTGATTTGAGAACCAATGACATGGCTTTAAACAGAAATCTTCCCTACCTATGGTCACAAAACAGCAATAAGTCAACTGATACGCCCTTGTAATACCATGATATATGCCTTTGCTTTGAATACACAAGACTCTGATACGATGTTCTGCTAGTCTACCAAGATTCACTTGGGGCTTAAACATCTATGGCCTGCCTACAGCATGGATAAAATCGATGTTCTTGCTCAGGATTACCAGAAACTTTTCCCTGTGTACTTGACAATGTATAAACCAACAGAATAAAAACAAAACTGATTATGTCTCAATTCATTAAACTCAAACATGCAAAAATATAATAACAGATCCTAACACAATACCACACTTTATTGGAAGAAAATCCATTAGAATGTTGAAAATATAACAATATTCTTGATAGCTGTGCTTATATATCTTATAATTTTTTTTTAATTTTAAAGTTTATCTTTTAAAGGTTACAATTTTTTTTTGTTTGCAATGGAGTTGCGCTCTGTCAACCAGGCTGGAGTGCAGCGACACTATCTCAGCTCACTGCAACCTACACCACCTGGATTCAAGAAATTCTCCTACCTCAGCCTCTCCCAAGTAGCTGGGAACATAGGCGTGTGTCACCATGCCCAGCTAATTTTTATATTTTTAGTAGAGACAGAGTTTTACTATGTTGGCCAGACTGGTCTCGAAGAGAAGAGACAGAGTTTCACCATGCTGGCCAGGCTAGTCTTGAACTCCTGACCTCAGCTGATCCACCCACCTTGGCCTCCCAAAGTGCTGGGAATACAGGCATGAGTCACCTTGCCCAGCAAGAAAGTATCATTTTTACCTACAAACAGCGCCTAAAGAAAAGGACCTCAAGCTAGCTGATTCTCTAATGGGAGTATCACCACTAAAACCTACAGCAAGCTGTAAGGTTTATAAATATCATTCTACTATAAGTATGAAAAATTAAGATTGTGAAAAAGTAAATAACTGAGACAAACAAAATTTCTGAAACTACAATAGAATTATGAATGTTATGCTGCCTTAACTTACATGTATTCTTTAAATATTAAAATTTTGGCTGTATACTTAAAAAATTAAAAATGGATAAAACACAATTTCTAACATTAAGTACATTATAGTCTCCATGATATATAAAAATGTAAGTGTGTAAAAAGCTTAAAAGCAAGTAAATTCATTGATAACTATTCTTTCTTTGGATGTTTCAGAGATATTATTAAACTCTTTTTAAAAAATAGTTTAATTTATGTTAAGAAACTAGTCCTTGACCTTAAATGTCACTATGCATGGAATTTATAGCAGATATATTTTATATACTGTATATATACAAGAATTACTCAAGATAGATTCAAGTAAAGCAGCTTCCTCCACAAAAGAAGAGTCAGATCATGAAAGAGAACCTTAATTATGTCTCTTTTATCAGCCCAACTGTACCAGAGAGTGAACCAAAACAGAGTTGGTAACTTAGAGGTGACATCACCATCAAGTTTTCATGAACTGTCATAAACAGTTGATCGTAAATTGACATCGAACATAGAAAACAACTTCCCCCAAAATACTAAGCCTTTATAACAATTTGTTTTTTAAGCCAAATACTAAGTTAAAAGACAGTAGTGTTAATTTTTACTCTAACTGCAGATGTAGACTATTATAAAATTAAATGTAGACTATTATAAAATTATAGCTTATAATCGCTAAAAAACATGTATTCTATACAGATATAATTTGAAATACTTCATATATATGTATTTCCTCAATCTTTACAGCAGCCCTATGACATGAAGTCTTCTATTGCTCCTACTCTACACTTAAAGAAACTGAGTCAGAGAGAGGTTACTTGGTTATGAAGAGGTGGATATAAATTAAAACAAATAAAACACCAATATTTTTCAAAGACATATTCAGATTTATTTCTAATGCACTAATAGAGTAGCTTATGCTTCACTCACATAGTTTATTACCTCACTTTCTTTGGATCTCTGCTCAAATACTACCTCACTGAGTTGGGCCAGCAGCACGAGCTTGTAGTCCCAGCTACTTGGAAAGCCAAGGCAAGAGGATCCTTTGAGACCAGGAGTTCTAGACCAGCCTGGGCAACATAGCAAGACCCTGTCTCAAACAAACAAACAAACAAACAAAATACCACCTCATTGGAGAGGCCTTCTTTACACAAAATGGAAACCTGTCCATCACTTTCTACCCCGTATACACACTCACTTTATCCATTATGTAACTCCAGCTAATAAGTAATAGCTATTTATTTACTCTTTTGTTTATAATCTGTTTCATGCCGGTCAAATATGTTTCATGTCTAGAAAGTGCCTGGCACATAGTATATGCCTAATAAATATTTGTTACTTAAATTAATCCTGAAAAGAATTGATTCCCAGGCCTATAAGACAGTTTACACAATCTTTTTAATCTTGAGGACAACATCCATTTAAAAATATCATTTTTAGTCTTAAAAAAATCATGTTTAAAAAACGAGAAGGAGAGGCAGGGGTAAGAAGAAAAATGGTTTTACTTCAATAGTAAGTTAAAAATTGCAGAAAGGCAAATTAAAATACCAAATAAGTCAAACTGAATTTCTTGACATCTCTAAGATATGTAAGGAAAAAAATTACTTGTGTCATTGACTAGTACTTATTCTCTGATATACTGCATCATTTCACAGCCCTTTTGTAAATGTGTATATTTTTCAATATGTAAAGGGCATTTTCAATTTTTAGGGGTGAGCATATCAAATTACAATTCAAAATCTCAAAATCATATTTTTGAGATGTGTGAATTATAAATTCATACAAACTATATGTACAATTGTATGTATTATTGATATATTTTCAATTGTAGAGTAATAGAAATAACCCAAAACTTAGAATCAGAAGACCCAATTTCACATTATCTGTCTCTAACTAGCTGTTTGGCCTTGAGGTAGTCTTTTAATCTCTCTGAAAATACCTTTCTCACTGTTAAATGCTAAACAGATAACCTACAGAAATCCTGAAACTCCTTCTATTTTAAATGCTAAAATACAGAATAAGGTTGTTATTTCTACTATAGGAGAAGAAAACATTATAAATATGGTTTTATTTTCTATCAATTAATCAAATTTGTGAAGAAGAAAATTCATGCAATATTGAATAATGGTTTTTACTAAATAAGTAAATCATAGATTATTGAAACTATATTTAAATTTGTATTTAAAATTTTTAAGTTGAAAATATTAAATGTAAAATGCTTAAATGAGAAAAAAGTATAAAATCTAGCAAATACTTTTGAATATTTTCCTATGACCCAAGAAAAATCTTTCTCTTCTCACTGCCTTTACCATATTAATAAAGACCTTCCAAAAGAACATTTCAGTGAATGTCATAAAACCTGTGATTTATAAAAAAAAAATGCCACTTTGACTTTTAAGTTATTATCAGTCTTAAGAGCTGCTCTAAATCAAACTATTATAGAATCTACTCCCAAACCACTACTTGGCAGCAAAGATGAATCTACCTATTACCAGGTTAGGATAGCAGCTATTATCACGGCCCCTTGATTTCTTTCAAGTAGCTCCAATGGAAAAAGCCACAAGTGAATAATAAAAATCTCATAATAGCTCTTAAGAATTCTTTATATGATAGAAGGCACTAAAATGAACTCTGGAGAGTTAAAAAGAAAAAAAAAACTCTTCTCCCCAATAAGAAAAAATAATTAACCTGACTTAATGCATCTGAGAAGGCTTCCTATAAATCAGACTTTTGTACTTCAAGAGCCAGATTAAAACCATATATCAAAAAAGTATGTAGATATTGTCTCATAAGTACACATAGCATATTTCTAAACCTGCAGAGGTTTTTAGGCCTTTTTGTGAAACACTCAATACATGCTATTTAAAAGAAGTGTGAAGTACTTACAGTGCTTAATTTGCTCGAGGTAATCACGATGCGCCTTTCGTGCAGCATACTGGCATACAGCTGCAGCATGTTGTTCACATCCACAGCAACAAAATATTCTGTAAGATTTCTCTGTACACGTGAAAAATAATTGTGTAAGTTACAGCTCATGGTGAATGTAAAGGAAAACATTTTACACATTTACCAGAAAGTCTTAAAGTTCAAAAGCTATTATTATTTAAAATGGTATTCATTAAAATAATTAAGTATAATACTAGTCTGCTGCCACAAGAAGCACATAATATTCTATTATTAGCTGAAATATATCCCTACTCAAGAAAAGTGTTTTCAGAGTATGATCAGATCACAGATTTTCCAACTTCCCTACCCCCTAAGAATTTGAAAAAAAGCTAATTTCTTGGACCCCAACCTAGACCTGCTGATTGTCATCTTCAGAATAGGTTCCCAAGAATCTGCTCTTTTTTTTTTTTTTGGTCACCCAGGCTGGAGTGCAATAGTGTGATCTTGGCTCATGGCAACCTCCGTCTCCTGGGTTCAAGCGATTTCCATGCCTCAGCCACCAGAGTAGCTGGGATTACAGGTGCACACCACCACGTCCAGCTAATTTTTGTATTTTAGTAGAGACAGGATTTCACCATGTTGACCAGCCTGGTCTCAAACTCCTGACCTCAGGTGATCTACCCACCTTGGCCTCCCAAACTGCTGGGATTACAGGTATGAGCCACCACACCTGGCCAAGAATCTGCTGTTTAAACAAATACTTCTGGTAATTCATACACAGACTGATGCATCAGAAACCAATGGCCCAAACAATACATCTGAGTCTTTCCGTGTTTGCCATTCACTATGCAGGCACAATCATTACCTGATATTACACAGCATGCACAAGGCACCCAAAGGATGAGGTGATTTTATAAGACAGCCCTTTGGTACTTTATTAAGGAAATTCACTTGTTTATACTTCAAGTCAGGCTTGCTTTGTACCACTAGAATCAAATATAATTTGATGATTGATTCCTTAATTTAGTGCTCTTAACCCCCACATGAGAATAAAACTGGGATAAGCTACATTAACTTTGACTTTTAGATCCTCTCCCTTATTATTTATTTTTAATTTTCTATAATGAAACTTAAGCACATTAGAAAGCAACAAACTAATTAAGGGTCTGGATAAGATATAACAAACAAAAACTGCAGTATCAGGTGGACTATGCCTCACAGGCTAAAACTTTTAGTTGGCCAAGAAATTAAGAAATCCAATTATTTCTTCAATGTCCAAAAGGTAGAAACTTTACCAACACAAATTGATAATCACGACAGAGCACATCAATAAAACCTGTAACTATCAGGAAGTGATGTTGAATTTGGTGGGAAGAGTTTTATTTCTTGTTTTCTCATCTTCCAATTCAGCTCTCCATATAAAAATTCATGTCATTTAACATTAGTATATTTCCTATAATCTAAAAGAAAGGTATAATTCTTAGATGGGGAATTATTTCTCAGCATAGAGTGCTACCTTATGCTTATGCTCTTGCTTTCTTTTCCCTAAAGAGGACTTTGTGCAAAGTAAAACATGTTAATAGATGTGTAAAAATACATATTCTCGGTGGCAGTTTTTCATTTGAAAGTTTGTTTCTTTGAAACCTTCAAAGTAATCGTCTTTTAAAAAATGTGACTTTTGTTAAATTAAGCTATTAGTTGTTTGTTAGTAAATCTAAGAGAAAGGTAAACAGGAGAGAGAGTAGATGGGAGCAACTTTGACTGTGAAACTCTGAAGTGAAGGGACAAGGGTCATTTAAGTCAAGGCATGGTCAGTCAGCCTTAAAGAAAACATAACAAGGAGTACCTGACCCACAATGTACAGCAATTGAGGCTTTAGGATCTACAGTAACCTGAGAGCTTTGATCACCTATCTCAGGCCCATAAGAGCAACTTGATACAAAGGCTTTTCATCAGGGTTTTCTGGATCCATCTGTACTGAAAACACCATTGATAGTCTTAGTTTGATACCAGAAAATTTACAATTGTATTACTGGACTTCCTTCACTACCCACATGGTTTTAGAAACCAAACATTCCGTGGGTTTGAAAACATTTGGAAAAACACTAGAATTCCAAAGAAAATAATAAGTATATATTGAAATACTTTCTTCCTGTTGATTTTTCCTTTACTTTTAATGAATTATTCCTACAGATTCATTTTAACTTTCCAAGGGAAGCTGAAGAAAAATTACATAATGAAATATTTCATTTTCACAGTTATCCAAATCATAAAAGCATATTTGTTACTTCCACTTCTCTATGTAAACTTTTCTACAAAATATAAATTTGTAATAACTATTAAAAACTGAAAATATTTCTAGTATGGCTACCATTATGACTCTAAATAAAATGCAAATTTTAGCAATTTTTATAATTTATTATAATACCCATCAAACCTTGAAAGATATGTATTGCTTTAAATTAAAGTCAGGAAATTAAGAACAGGACAGATAAGATTTGAAGCATTATATACAAGGAATATAAAATAATATGATAATTTCACTAAAGTAACAATTTGTGTGAAGACATTTCCCATTGCTAGTATTCTTCTCCACAGTAGAAGCCATCTCCTGAGGCATCTCTTCTATCAGATACAGAGAACCTGAGAACCTAATTGAATATATATGATCCTACCTAATTATTACAAGTGACAGAAATCATTTTCCTCCTATTACTGCTTGATTTTCCTTATCTACAACCAGATATTAAGAAGAAGGTAAAGGGGGCAGATACAAAAAGAAGAGAAGAAAATAACATCAATATTCCTTATTTCTTCATTATTTATCATAAACACAGATAATTATAATGTATCCTATTTCTCTATATAAAAATGCATAAACAGTGAGACCAAACTAAATAAAATTAATAATATAAGAATAATTAATACAGAAAATAGAAAACTTACACTCTCAGGTATTGTTGGGAGTCCAGTTACATCAGGGGTAATGAAGTAGGAATGCTAATCAATAAAAACAAATCACATATGAAAAAGATAATTAAAACTTGGTATCATTACATACAATTTGTAATGAAAATCAGAAAGAAAATATATTGAGAGAATTAATAAATGCCATGGACTGAAATTCAGTATTTGTTGAATTTGAAAGATTCTTAAATGAGTTAGGAGGTTTATATGAGATTTACCATGCAAAAAGTTAAGAGTTGGTTAAAAATATTTGACCTTAAAATTAAGATAAGACTAGGGAAAAGTGTTAAGGCAAAAAAGAGTACATTATTGAAAGGTTTATTTTGTACATATACATATATATATATACATATATATATACACTATATATACACACACACACATGTACACACATAGAAACATATATATTATTAAAACACATTTAGTTGACATAGATTGGAAAAATTAAAGCTTGCTAACCAAATATATCAACATCTATTAAGATTCCTAAGTTTCTATGGTAAGTAACAACCAATCTTTTTTTGTAAACATCAGCCACCCTAATATTTAGCAAATAGCAATAAAATATAATTTTTCAATGTTTAAAACTGCTTAAACATGTAGTGATCCCAAAATATGATCTTCACACATCCGCCAAACAATTAGCTTTTCTAATGTTCAAAGAAGTACAAGAGTTCATCACAATACTTAAAAGAGTATATTGTGTACATATGCTGTCATGTTACCAACAATATTCCCAAATTTACCACCCAGAATCAACGTGCAACTTAATCACCAAAAAATGTTTTATTTTCTGTTCATATTAATCTTCAAAATTATTTAAATATCTTAATCACATAAGGACATATTTAATACTATCATATTATTAACAATTAGAAAAGAAACACTCTAGCCAATACTTGAGCATAGTTGAACTCATCAGAACAAGGCTAGTTAACACAGTCATAATGTATAATTTTCCAGGATGGAAGAACAATAGGAGAAAAATCACAAGATCTTCTGTGATCTTGGAGCCAAAAAATGTGACAAATCTCATGCTGTGAATATACTTCAAAATTACTACCACTGAAAATGGAGAATATGCATAGATTTTGGTCTCTATAAGCTAGTTTTATTTGCAATGGTTTTTAATAGTACTGTATTTTATAAAACTATGCTTTACAAGATAGTATAAACAGAAAATATTATATATTCCAATGATTAATTTTCTTAAAGAAATCAAATTTACCATTTCCCAAAGAGCTGGAGTGAATCTTAAAGGCATAGTGAAATAAATGATTATTTTTCCTATTTAATAGCGATTTTTAGAAGCCAACGTCCTTTTAACTCACCGGTACTAGAGAGGGCTGATCTTTCAGAAATTGCTCACAGGCAATAAATATCTCTTGGTTCTTATAACACATGAGAGAAAAAAATGAATATTTTACTTTCATGGGAGAAGCTTACACAACAATTCGCTGTGTAATTAAGACAAAACCCATGTAGCCACATTAGCCACTAAAAAATACTTGAATAAAAGTAATTATAAATATTATTTTAAATGCTGATTTGCTAATTTTATGCTAGAAAAATCCTAATGAAAGTATTTTCATATTACTAGAGAATGCTGTGGATATTTAATGATTTTGAAATATTCCAAAAAAAGTATTTTCACTAGACATTAACTTTTTATAAAAATATGTGATTTCTAGTGGCCATTATCCACTTGTACAGGAACAAAAACTTCCATAATCATCAATTTTAATCTGTCAGCATAAAACTAAAATCTCTTCTAGTAGCTGAAGATAAGTGTCCTAGTCCCAAATTTGCCACTTATTTAACAGCATTACACCAGATACATTACATTAGGAGTCTGTTACTGAAATCAAATACAATTAACTATTCATGGTAAACAAATGTAACAGCTGATTTTATCAACACTTAAGATATTATGACTTAGCCAGGCACAGTGGCTCATGCCTGTAATCCCAGCACTTTGGGAGGCCAAGGCGGGAGGATTGCCTAAGGTCAGGAGTTCAAGACCAGTTTGACCAACACAGTGAAACCTCATCTCTACTAAAAATACAAAACTAGCCAGGTGTGGTGGCAGGCGCCTGTAATCCCAGCTACTTGAAAGACTGAGGCAGGAGAATCGCTTGAAACCAAGAGGCGGAGGTTGCAGTGAGCTGAGATCACTACATTGCTTTCCAGCCTGGGCAGCAAAAGTGAAACTCCGTCTCAAAAAAAAAAAAAAAAAAAAGATATTATAACTTTATTTATTTTATTTATTTATTTTTTTGAGATGGAGTTGTGCTCTTGTTACCCAGGCTGGAGTGCAATGGTGCGATCTCGGCTCACCGCAACCTCCGCCTCCTGGGTTCAGGCAATTCTCCTGCCTCAGCCTCCTGAGTAGCTGGGATTACAGGCACATGCCACCGTGCCCAGCTAATTTTTTGTATATTTAGTAGAGACGGGGTTTCACCATGTTGACCAGGATGGTCTCGATCTTTTGACCTCGTGATCCACCCGCCTTGGCCTCCCAAAGTGCTGGGATTACAGGCGTGAGCCACGATATTTTAACTTTAAAATAGGTACAAGACTTGAAAAACTATCATAGACTATTAATTCAAGTGCATATAAGAATTCTTATGGTGGCTCAAGCCTGTAATCCCAGCACTTTGGGAGGCTGAGGCGGGTGGATCACGAGGTCAAGAGATCAAGACCATCCTGGTCAACATGGTGAAACCCCGTCTCTACTAAAAATACAAAAAATTAGCTGGGCATGGTGGCACGTGCCTGTAATCCCAGCTACTCAGGAGGCTGAGGCAGGAGAATTGCCTGAACCCAGGAGGCTGAGGTTGCGGTGAGCCGAGATCGCACCATTGCACTCCAGCCTGGGTAACAAGAACAAAACTCCGTCTCAAACAAACAAAAAAAAAAGAATTCTTAATTATGGGAATAACTATTAAGGAATAGACGATAGTCAGTCAAATTCCTATATAAATAGGAATAGAACATAGTCAATGAAATTCCTTTGACAAGATTATTTCAGCTACAATGCAGCTATTTCAGAAGAAAACATTTTCTCCATATGAGATGAAACTTCAATTTACCACCACCTAACACCTGAATAGCTCTTCATGGTAGATCCAGATATATCACTTTATTTATTTGATTTGAGAAAGTTGATTACTAAAACAACTTTCTCAAAAGTTGACATGCTCAATTTCTCAAATGGAAAAAAAAGGATCATCTAAAGAGGTTAACTTTCTTGACTAACATTACACATTTACTGACTGTGACTTAAACCAAAATCTTCTAATCCTAAGTGAAAAAGACCTAGAAATCTTTAATTTATGGTTCTTATCAATAAAGATGAAGTGTTTCAATACCTGAAATTTTGGAGATGTATTTTGCTAAGATATTTATTTACCCCTGAGCAAATATGATACTCAAATTTAAGGAGAGCATATTTGTATTTCTCAATGCCACCTCCATTGTCTTAGCACCTCAATTTTCCTGAACTCTTTGACAGTGCCAGAATCACCTTATAAATATAACACTTTCAAAGATAAATGACCTTTATTTGGAAAATCCCAGGCTCTTCTTTATTATCCTTGACCTTTCCCTTGGCCTTTCTATTGCATTTCCACTAACCATAAACCTTGCACATTTTTGGCTTCAATGACCTGTAAGTCTAAGTTACTCTTTAACTGCTCTTTCCCCCAATTCTTTCACAGGATCTCCTTTCTTTTTCCCTATAGCCTATTTGGGCAATTAGAACTTAGCCTCTGCTCTATGCTCTTCTATATTTTATCCTTTAAACAGCTACAACTATGTCTACTGTTGACTCCCAAATTTGGGTTAAAAATTCCAGGTTATCCTTAGCTTTTTACCACCCAGTCTCCAAATGACTATTAAACCTTTCCACTTTGGCAGTGTGCAACAAAAGAAGATGCAGACATAAAGCAGCAGAGATCACAGGAAAGAAAAACACTGCATTAAGTTGTATGACAAGAGGTTTCACAAAAGTGAAGAGTAAGTTCTAGACTAACAATACATAATCAACAAAGTGACTTTTGTCCTAAAGTAATGATGCTCATTCAAGAAGCTCAACAAAACTATGTGACCAGAATAGAGGAGGAAAAAAAAAAATTCAACTGAATCTAAGAAATGGATGGTCCTGAAAGTCTAGCCAAAGTTTGAACAAATTCTATAGAAAATGGGGAAACAAAAAGTTTTCAGCTGGGACTTTATATAGTTTAAGTAAGTCTACCCTGACAGTCTTTTGTAGAAAGGACTGGAAGGAGAGACTCTAGACTAAGAACTCTTTGAAGTACTAAGCACCAGAACTACGATGCTAACCACCTTAGTCTACTACTAACAGTAGTGGTTAAAGAATGGAATAACGTAAGAGAACATTACTCTTATGTGAAATCACAGGATGAAATCTGGGCAAGACGCATGGACCAACAGAACAGAATAGAGAATGAAGAAATAAACCCAGATACTTACAGCCAACTGATCTTCAACAAAGCAAACAAAAACATAAGGTGGAGAAATGACACCCTTTTCAGGAGATAATTGGCTAGCCACATATAGGAAAATGAATTTTGGATCCTCATCTCTCACCTTATATAAAAATCAATGCAAGATGGATTAAGAACTTAAATCTACGATAAGAAACTATAACAATTCTAGAAGACAACATTGGAAAAACTCTTCTAGACATTGGCTTAGGCAGGGATTTCATGACCAAGAAACCAAAAGCAATAAAAACAAAGATAAATAGTTGAGACTTAATTAAACTGAAGAGCTTTTGCATGGAAAAAGGTATAGTCAGCAGAGTAAACAAACAACTCAGAGTGGGAGAAAATCTCCACAGTCTATACATCTAACAAAAAAACTACTATCCAGAATCTACAATGAACTCAAACAAATCAATAAGAAAAAAAAAATCCCATCAAAAAGTGAGCTAAGGACATGAATAGACAATTCTCAAAAGAAGATATACAAATAGCCGACAAACATGAAAAAATGCTCAACATCGCTAATGAATCAAGGAAATGCAAATCAAAACCACAATGAAATACCACCTTATTTTTGCAAAGATGGCCATAATGAAAAAAATCAAAATACTTTTGTTAAACATCAGCCACCATATTATTTAATAAACAGAAATAAAACATAATTTTTCAATGTTTAAATCTTCTTATACATGTAGTTATCCCAAAATATGATCCTCACACATCTACTAAACAACTATTAAACTGATCAACTGATCACTGCATCCACCCCAATATTAGATGTTGGCGTGGATGTTGCAATCAGAAAACACTTCCATATCTTTACATCACTGGTGGGAATGTAAACTAGTACAGCCACTATGGAAAACAGTGTGGAGATTCCTTAACGAACTGAAAGTAGAACTACCATTTGATGGTAGCAATCCCAGTACTGAGTATCTATCAAGAGGAAAAACGTCATTATACGAAAAAGATACTTGCACACACGTTTATAGCAGCATAATTCACAATTGGAAAATTGTGGAACCAACCCAAATGCCTGGCAGTCAACAAGCAGATAAAGAAACTGTGGTATATACATATATGATGAAATACTACTCAGCTGTAAAAAGGAATGAATTAACAGCATTTGCAGCAACCTGGATGAGATTGGAGACTATTATTCTAAGTAAAGTAATTCAGGAGTGGAAAACTAAACATCATATGTTCTCACTGATCTGTGGCAGCTAAGGTATGAAGAAATAAAGGCCTAAGAATGACACAATGGACTTTCGGGATTTGGGGGGAAGAGTGGGAGGGGGTGATAAAATACTATATATATGGTGCAGTGTATACTGCTCTGGTGATGGGTACACCAAAATATCACAAATCACCACTAAAAAACTTATTCATGTAACCAAATACCACCAGTATCCCAATAACTTAAGGGAAAAATTAAAAATTGATTAATTAATTTTTTAAAAAGAAGAAAATTATTACCAAATAAAATATAATAACAACTTCCCTATCTCACAAAAACACAAAAGACCTATTATATATATTTTGAGTTGAATAATTTTAAAAAAGAAAATTATTATCAAAGAAAATGTAACAACTTCCCTATCTCACAAAAACACAAAAAACCTGTTATTATATATATTTTGAGTTACCTTTTCTCTCATTTTCTCTTGCAACATTATATTTTTCTTCTTTATTAGGTAAAGTTTATTATTTTAGAAGAAAGTAAACATAAATTTTAATAGTCTATCCAGTATGCCAAATTCATGAAGAAAATAAAAGTAGCCATATTTTATAATCTTGAACTTTGAACATTTACAAAAATTCCCAAAACACGAGTGTTTTTAGATATAGATGGCACAGTTCATTAAAAGTTTCAATAGTACAATAATCTATCCCATCGTAGGCTTGCTGTTTTGACAAACAGCAATTCAATCATATTTCTAGTATTTTGTGATTATATGAAAAGATATATTGATGTATAAGAAAGAAGACAAAACTATTCACCCAGAATTTTTATCATATAGTTATATGTTATATGTCATTTTTGTTCTGAGTATTGTCTTCATTTTAGGAGGGTTATTAAGCATGTGTGTGTATTCCTTTATTACGCACAGATTTCTCCTAAAAATCAATGTATCTTACAACCAAAATATCCTCACAGATTTGGTTTCTTTTAGTTTATGATAATTTTTTTAATTCAATAATTCAACAAAGTTATAAAAATACACATCTGATATATAGAGTTATGATTGTTACAGCATGTTACACTGTTACATTAGTACTAGCAATGAAGTTTTTCCTGGAAGCAGAGATGACTTGGCAAATAATTACCTGAAGGTTCATGTGTTTGTAACAAAACTGAGACATAGCTATGACTCCAAAAAACAATTACTGATTGAATACTTACCACACTCAAGTTGACAGGAGTATTTGCCTTTGGTACTGGGTGGTTATACAGTGATTTGAGAGTTTCATTCAAATCATTTTCCTAGGGAAAAGAAAATGCACATTTTATAAATAAGACATATACCAAGCAACGTCAATTAAAACTACTTAATAAAACAGTCCACTGTGGCTTTTCATATTAGACATATTTTATATAAATGTTTTCAACAAAAACATTTGAAATAACTGAAATTAAAATATTTGAGTCTAGTAAATATGAAAACATATTTAAATCTCTTTATCCAGAAGAATAATGTCAATACTTCTACTTAGTAAAAATGTGTATTTGAAAGTTATTACATATTATACAAATATCATAAATGGAAATTATCTAAATCATTAAATCCAATAAGAACAATGGGATTGAATAAAAACAGTGAAATAACTTTTTATCAGATCATAGAGTACTCTCATTTTTCATTTTCATTTTAAAATCCTAAACCAATTTTTAAGGAATAGAAACAATTTAAATAAGATTATTATACTAAAAATGCAATGTAGAAAGAAATAATTGCTAAATATTTCTTTCTACATTGCTACTGATCACTACTTGACCCACAATAAATGGGATTAAATAAAACATACAACAAATCTACTTCATAGAATTTGTATAATAATACAGTGCCTTGATGTGCAACCTCAATTTTTCCATATCACATGCTACAAATTTAGTAATAAATATACAATAATTTTTATAAACATATTATCTTTATTCTCTATTTTCATGTTGGAGGAAATAAATCAAATGAAAAAGCAATTGTTCAGAGGAGTTGGCAATTTTATTAAGTTTGGATATGAGACATAGACTTCTCATGATATTTCTTATGCCTTGGTCTATCCACTTATACCAAAATTTAATAAATCAGATCTCTGTAACTACTTTCAAAAGTATTCATTTAAAACTAGTTATTTAAAATACTCTTCAGAATGACCTAAAAAGACCATAAACAATATATTTCTTGACCATTTATACAATGAAGTGTACCAGAGAATACTGCAGATGATACCAATCCCCTTTGTATAAGAGACTCATACAGTTATGTTTTAGAATTACATTTTGGAAGGACTACAAGATAAACAATTTACCTCTTAAACTTTTAAACAATGAAGTGTAACATGGAAAATTGTGGATCATATTGATACTCTGTTTATACAAAATTCCTACAGGTAGAAAAATTTTTAGACTACCTTTTAAAAATCCTTTGCACTGTCTTCCATTGATCAGATAAGGGTAACTTGAATTGTAAAAGTTATTTAAATAACCTATCACACTGAATTAGAAATGAACATAAAAAAGTACTACAATTACAAATCTACTTCTAGTTTAACTAATGCTATAAACTTATAATACTTCTTCCTCAAATAAGGAACACAAATGGAGCCTCCCCATTTCCTCTTCTCAGAAAGCCAAAATTATATGAATTTGTTTATAGCTATTTTCTTTTATGTATTCCAGTATTACTGATGGTTTCAGGAAAGATAAAATGATATACAATATGGAAATAGTAATAATTTATCAGTAACAGTTACTAAAATTTACAAAATACAGAAAAAGTATCCAAAATTTAGACAACTAATATAATTAATGTGAATTCCACATGTACATTCACAAAAACAAAGAATAAGAGATTATCATGAATAATTTAACCAGAATTCTGATTTTGACTTTTCATTGCAAAAAATACATAGCTGTATTTCCCGTTATTTTCTTAGGCAAGTGATGACTTATAGCTTCAACATAAAATTATTCAACTGTAAAATGATGTTAATATATATTTCAAAGAATTAAGCTATCAAATATATAGAGAAAAATACTGACATGCACAAACACATACACATGAACAACTAGATTTTTGACAAACATTAAAACTTGCAATTGTATTATAATAAATTTGGTTGACAAATTAGAAAATTGTTCACTAGAAGAGTAAAGAGTACCTTAATTTATTAACAACACCTTGAAATTCTATTTATATAAATAATACCTCTCTTACTTTCCAAGTGACAGAACTAGTTATCTGACTTATAGACACTGTACTTTAATCAAAGTCACAAGGGAGTTCAAGACCAGCTTGGCCAACGTGGTGACCCCATCTCTACTAAAAATACAAAAATTAGCTGGGTGTGGTGATACACACCTGTAGTGAGCTAAGATCATGCCACTGCACACCAGCCTCGACAACAAAGCAAGACTCTGTTTAAAAAAAAAAAAAATACATAAATAAATAAAAAATACAACTTAGGCCTGGTATGGTGGCTCATGACTGTAATCCCAGCAACTGGGGTGGCCGAGGTGGATCACGAGGTCAGGAGTTAGAGACCAGCGTAGCCAATATGGTGAAACCCTGTTTGTACCAAAAATACGAAAATTAGCCAGGCATGGTGGCACACACCTGTAGTCCCAGCTACTCAGGAGACTGAGGAAGAAGAATCACTTGAACTGGGGAGGCGGAGGTTGCAGTGAGCCACAGAGCAAGACTCAATCTCATTAAAAAGAAAAGAAAGAGAGAAAGAAAAAAGAACTAAAATCCAGGATTTAGGATTCAATCAAACCACACTGCCAAAAGTCCAGTTATATTTGTACTACCAATACTACATTAAGTTACCTAGGAACATTCATAAACATTTTAATTATAAGGTGACGACACTCACTTGTACTTGAGACCACCACCACTTAAGGCAAATGAAAGATTTCAGCTGGTTTATCAAAATCATTAATTTTTATTCTTACAAGCTTATTTTCAAATATAGTCTATCCATGTTAGCATACTACTTGTTTCACCAAACTGGGCAGACAGAAATGTCTATACTATTTTAACTGAACTGTATTACCAAGACAATATAATTTTTAAAAATTAAATGAAAACTCAGAATACAGGCTGGGTATGGTGGCTCACGCCTATAATCCCAACACTTTGGGAGGCTGAGGTGGGCAGTTCACAAGGTCAGGAGTTTGAGACCAGCCTGATCAATATGGTGAAACCCCATGTCTACTAAAAATACAAAAAAAAAAAAAAAAAATTTAGCCAGGCATGGTGGTGCATGCCTATAATCCCAGCTACTCGGGAAAATCACTTGAACCCGGGAAGTGGAGGTTGCAATGAGTAGAGATCGTGCCACTGCACTCCAGCTTGGGCAACAGAGCAAGATTCTGTCTAAAACAAACAAAAAAAACCTTCAAAATACTATGCCCAGGAGGATACTTTGCTCCAAATTCAGTCAACAGAACTTTTAAAACATGTAAAGAAATAAATGATTGTATACTGAAAAGCTGAAAATAAGCTTTTCCTATGGAAAAAATCAGGGTAAGAAAAATGACATTCTGTCTTACAATATCCCATTTAAAAAAATTCCATCAATAATTTTGACTATGATTGCCTTTAAAACACTGGCATACAGAATTTTGTGAACAAAAGGTCACAATATCTGGATATTAGTTTCTTCTACTATAAAATGGAGATCTAAAAACTGAATATTAGAAACTTTCTAATGTATTTTTACTTATTCTGCACCTTTTGACACAATACCTTTTGCTATGGAAGACACAGTGATAGAAGATTTCCAACTGTCAATTATTACTTTAGATGTGCAGACACAGAATTACATCCAACCCAGTGTAAATGCTCTAGGAACCCACAGAATGCATCACCTAACTCAACCTGGAAAGTCAGGAAAAGTCTCTAGAGAAGTATTTGTGCTGAAATTAAGTTTGTTTCGAAAGAGTACACTAACTCTTAAAAGATAAATGTTCTACCATTAATAATTAGTGAGTGGTCTGTAATCTTGATAGACAACTGTGTAGAGATATGTTCTGGGAAATTTAAGTGGCTCAAAATAATTAGATAGTACATTATGTGCAGCAGATGAGTGGAAGCAGATTAATCCAGAGAGAAGGTCAGAAGCCAGACCATAAAGTTAAACATCATGCTGCTCACAGTTTAAATTTTATTCTACGAAAAAGAGGAGACGGTGGAGAGATTATAAGCAGTGGAATAATCAGTTTCCAAAAGGTTCACCATGAAAAGAGTGGTATGTAGACAAAGAGTGTGTCTGAAATGCCCATAAATAGTATCTAGAAAAAAGAGAACCAAGAATATAACATAAGTAACACCAAAATATTAGGTGTCGATGGAGGAAAAAGGCCCAGAAAGAAGCTGAGTTCATAAGTAAAACAAAGAAGAGACAATGTCAGGGCAGCCAAGAAAAACACAATGTCAAGAGTGAGAGGGACCAAATAAGAATTTAAACAGCTAACTAGAGAATAGAAAGTATACCCTAAGTGAGAAAATTAATAGACAATAGCCATTATAAAGAATTTTTAAGATGCATTTTATTTCAATTGAGCTGTGTCAAATAGCATAGCTAATATCTTAGTAAATTAGCTCTTGCTAAAAACCTCAAAGTATGGCCAGGCTTGGTAGATGTGAGGCACAGGCAGGAAGATCCTGTGAGGCCAAGAATTTGAGTCCGGCCTAGGCAGCACAGTGAGATTCTGTCTGTGCAAAAAATTTCAAAATTAGCTAGTTGTGGTGGCACATGCCCATAGTTCCAGCTACCTGAGAGACTGAGGTGAGCAGATTACTTGAGTCTAGGAGGTTGAGGCTGCAGTGAGTGATGATCATAAAACTGCACTCCAGCTCTGGGCAACAGAACAAGACCCTGTCTCCAAAACAATTTAAAAAAATGAAAGAATAATTAAGGGAAAAAAATTAAAAATTATTATCTGAGAGAAGTTTGTTCATTCAAAAGCAAACTTCAGCTTTTGTTTCTATTTTTAAGGAAAAAAAAAAGCATAAAGACTTTTATTGAGAGCTAAAACTATGAAATTCTTTCAAGAAAACTTTAAAACATTGGATTTGGTAAGATTTCTTGGATATGATACCAAAAGCACAGGTAACAAAAGAAGAAATAGATAAATTGAACTTTATTAAAATTAAAAACTTTTGTGCATCAAACAATACTATCAAATGAGTAAAAAGGCAGGCAAACCATGCATTGGAATAGAATACTTACAAATCATCTAATAAGAAATGAATATTTGAATATATGAAGAACTCCTACAATTCAACAACAAAAAACACAACAAGATTTAAAAATGATCAAAGGACATGAACATGCCTTCTACAACTTTTGACTCAATACCTATTTGCTATTAGAGACACAGAGATAGAAGAGTTCTAACAAATACTTCTCTAGAGACTTTTCCTGACTCTCCAGGTTGAATTAGGTGATGCTTGCTGTGTTCCCAGAGCATTTACACTGGGTTGTAATTTTCTGTCTGCACAACTAAAGACCTTTTCTAAAGAAGACATACAAATGGAAAGTAAATATCCAATAGCACTATTCATTAAGGAAACGCAAATTAAAATTCCAATGACAGAACACTTTGCACACACATTATCCAAAAAAGAAAAGAAAAGAACAAGTATTGGCAAGATTGTGAGGGAAATGGAACCCTTGTAAGTTACTGAAGGAAATGCAAAACAGTATTGCCACTGTGGAAAATGCTCTCATGATTCCTCAAAAAATGAAACACAGAATAACCATACTACCCAGTAATTCCACTTTTAGGTATATACTCAAAAGGATTGAACCCAAAGGCTGGAACATTATTTGGACAAACGTCTTCATAGCTGCATTATTCACAATACCCAAAAAGCAGAGGAAGCACCCCCAGTGTCTATTGATAGATAAAAGAATGAAAAACTGTGGTGTATTCATATACAGTCTTAAATTCTGACACATGCAACAACATGGATGAATCTTGAAGACATTACGCTAAATGAAATAAGCCAGTCACTTAGCAAATAAGGACAAACACTTTGTGAGTCCAATTACATGAGATACATAGAGTAGTCAGATTCATACACATGATACTATGGTGGTTGCCAGGGATGGTGAGGGTTGGGAGAAATGGTAGATATTGTTTAATGGGTATAGACAGAGTTTTAGACTGGCAAGGTAAAAAAAGATGTATGGTATTGATGGTTGCAGACCAACATTAATGTACTTAATGCCACAAAACTATACACTTAAAAATGGTTAATATGTTAAGTTTTATGTTATGCTATTTTATCACAATTAAAATATGGGGAAAAAATAGCTTACCAGTTCCTTAGCCAAGTAATCTGCAAGAGTATTTAGAAGCTTGTAATACACTTCAAACCAGGGAAGGTAACTGCAAAAGAATTATTTAAAAATGTATAGACATAAAATTCAAAACAAGCAGACAATATAAACAATTTATTTTAATTCAAACATATTAATCCTGGAAGTCAAAAAAGAACTATATCCATTTTCTTTACCTCTTCAGTGAAGTTTTACATATTATTTATTATAAGTTTTCATAAAACAAATCAGAATCTAGAGTTCTATTTAAAAAGTTGTCCATTACATACTTCTATTTTATATCAACAATATCTAAAATTATTTTCATGGTATTCAATAAAAGCATGCATAAAATAAAAATTAACCATTGTAAAAAAATCATATAAAAACTAATTTTAAAAAGCTTTTAAAACAACAGATTTCAAAATTCCTTTTAAAATGTTACTGGAGTATATAATACAACAGATATGTTTTTAATAAATTCTTCAGAAAAGATGTTTAAGAATGATGGCAAATTTCAAAATAACTCAACACAAATATCAGAAAGACTATCTAAAAATTTTAAAAATTGCAAATGACTTACATATCAATACCAAATATAATTCAAAATTTATTTTAATTTGTTGTGCTAGATAAAAGTATAATCTTTATGATAGCTAAATACTAAATCTAAAAATCAAATAAAACAAAATCTATATTCCTTCTTAAAAATTAAAATATTAGTATATTTTAAAATGTCTGAAGATTTTAATGGTTAACTATACATTTTTCATGTAGAAAAGAGGAAATCACAAAATACACTGTTGTTAATTATCAATTAACAAATACTCATTACTTTTCTTCAAAGCATTAGTTCAACATGCTACTTTTAAAGAGAAAATATTGTTGTTGCTTTTACTACATAATTGTACACAGATTAAGAGTATATGCACAAAACATAAAATTTTAAAATCAATAAGTAGAACATAAAAAACAGCATTCTAACAAGATTTTTTTCATATAATGTCTGATTTGTTAGTGACTATGAATGATGCCTTTCGAATCAGAAACTGAAAGCAGTAATAAAAGAAGTTAGGTAAACTACATTATCTTTACTCAGCAGAATATTATAGAGTTATTTAAAATGATAATTACAAATACTAACTAATAATATGAAAATTCCTATGATATTTTAAAATATCTACCCAACTTCTGGTTAAATCGAACATATTGGCTGTGTGCATATATCTCTGTGTCCTCTGGAAATAACATAAAAATGACAATACATGAATAAAAAGGGTATAAATTAATGAACACAAGCAAAATGAGGGAAAAAATAGCAATGCAGGTGGATGACTTTGTAAATATGGTAAACAGGGAGGTAACAGCAAGAGAGAGGAAAGCAAAACCCAAATGCCATTAGAAAGGAAAAGGACCAGCAGATGTTCTCTGCACAGAGTTCTGAAGGATTGATTTAACAAAATCTCAGAAGAAAAAAACCCCTGAAGTCCTATTTTCTTGGAATGAAACCCAACACTATACATGCAATGTTTCCAATTCAGTTTAATACCTTCCTTTTGAATATAAATTAACAGCCAACCACCAGATATTTGAGGAAATACAAATATAAAATCATGTTTATATTCAACAACATAAAAGGAACTACAAGTAAATATAGACAGTACAAACAGCTGAAGAGAACTCCAAAACTCAAGTTGAAGTTTAGTAGCTGAATTATGAGCAGGAAGCTATTAAACAAAACTCAACTTTTTAAAAAAGTCAAAAAAGAAAATTTCAGACAGGAAAAAAGAGCTTTAAGAAATTCTAAAGGCTAAAAAAAAACTAAAGTTAATGGAAAATTTAGATGATAACTCCAGAAAAATCCCCCAGAAACTAGAATATAAACAAGTAATACGAGAAAAAATATTAAACTATTAAGCCATCAATGTCAACTATCATAAAGCTATAGTCATTCCATAAAGAAAAAATAGAGGAAATAAATGAATAAAAGTTTCATTTTAAAGAATTACTGGAAATTTTCCCAGAACTTCAGACATGAGTCTCTAGACTGAAAGAGTAAGTGAATGAACAGCATAAAAAATGTGCCAAACCAGAGTATCACTGTAAAATTCCAAAACAAGGGATAGAAGAGTGCCTAAAATTTTCCAAAGAGACAAAAAACAAGCAACAAACAAAGGGATCAAGTTTAAAAATGTCATCGAACTTCTGAACAGCAAAGCTGGAAGTCAGAAGATAACGCCTTCAAAATACAGAGGTTAAATTCTTTGCACTCAAGACTTCTGTGTCTAGACAAACAATCAAAGTGTGAGGACAGATTAATAGCATTTTCAGTCAGGTAAGGACTCAAAACTTCACCTCCTATGACATCCTAAAGGATGGCTAAAACAAAATTAAGGAGATGAAAAAAAAAAGGAACACATGGATGTAGGAGGCAAGAAAACTAAGATCATGGAAGAAGTGAAGTCCTAGGATAAGAGTTGTGCAAAGGCCTCTAGAGCAACCGGTCCAGACTGAAACAGTAATGAAGGCGCTAGGAGGGAGATGCCAGAACAGGCTGCTTACAATAAACACACTGCAACTTTGCATGGAAGCCTGGAAAAATCTGGATAGGTATGAGACATATCGGTGATCGTTTTGGGGAATTGAAAAGTTAGAAATTACTATTGGTAATCTCAATTTTTCTATTTAAATTATTCAACTCTTGAAGCCCTAGTTCTTAGATAAGGCTATTCTACTACATTTATCCTCTACTTACAAAAAAACCAAAAACCTCACAAATTACTAATACTGTTATATTACTAACTAAATATAATACAAATCAGCACATCATAGTTTCTGCATTCACTATAACTCAAAGAAACAATATTCATGGCAAATCTTCTAACAAGACACATAATCTTTAGTTTAGAGCATAATTTATTTCATTTGTAGTCATTTCAAACTCAAATTTCAATTTTTAATAGCCTGAAGAAATTGCTATTTCCAGACAATTTCAATGTGTCATGTAGTCCAAACCTAAAAATTCAGATGAGACCTAATCTATTCAAAGAAAGGTGCTGGTCTGTTTCTATTCTAACTCTCAAGGAGCTTTAGATAAAGCAAAATGTATCGGTTGTTGGTGGCTGCATGCCTACCTATTAATGGTTACATTGTCATTTCACCTTATTCAAATAAAGTGAAACCTTTGGTAACAATTTTTCTTTCCTGGTCTACTATAAAACCAAAATACATACGTGTGTGTGCGTATGTGTGTGTGTGTGTGTGTGTGAGAGAGAGAGAGAGAGAGAGAGAGCACGCGCGCGCATGCACATGTGTGTATGTATACAATAATTATGTTATTAGAAAATAAGATAATGTTTTTCTTTCCGGACCAAAATCCTTAACATTTATTTCAATGTTCTGGCTTTCTAAAGTTTATATTACTGTTTTTCACTGGTTATCTTCCCCTTTCAATTTCCTTTCAAATTGCAAAGGCATATCAGAACCAAATTTTTCATTAAGAAGCTAATTTATACAAATAAACATCATTTATCTGTAAGATTATTTCCTTGTCTTTGAATAAATAATTGATTAATATATTCAGGTTACTTTAAAAAATTTAAACAGTGCTAGACATTTTGGTATCTACATAATTATTACTGTTTTTCACATGTCCAAGAATAATAAGCTTTATTGAATTTCATCCTGCTACCAGGCTATGATTTAATCTATAAATTAAACTAATACTATTTAGAACTAAGGTTTACCCTTATGGGATATTTCTCATAGTCATCTCTAAGGCCCCAAAATGCTTTATTATTTATTTGGAGAGTATAACTCACTAGTTAGTTATATGTCCATCTGGGGGCTGAGAACAGAATCTAAGAATCATAGAATTTATGTGTTAAAAAATTGGAAGTGCAGGAAGTAAAGTTACTTAAGCAGTAACAATTTGAATGACAGTGTGCTAGGTACTTACATGTATTATCTTGTTTAATTCTTACACTAATGCTTTGATACATACTTGACTAAACTAAGATAAAGCAACTTATCTAGCGTCACAAAGCTATTGAATGGCAATCTTGGGATTAGAACCCTAATCAACCTGACTGAATAATATATGCTCAGGGGTCTACCACAGATAGCCTATCACCCTATGCTGGCATGTATTTCTATACAGTGCACCTCTGAATAAACATGCTCAATGACCAGGCATTTCAGGCAGCTAACTAAACGGAGACAAAAATCATTCTGTTGTAATCTTAAATTAGCCTACCTATAAGTTCTATGCACTGAAGCAAATTCTATCTTCCAAAATTCATGTTTATTTAACATTCAGAGCACTACCTTTATGACTTTTAAATTACAGTTTGTTCATGTGGGCAAATTTTCCAACAAATAGAGATCTATTTAACGTGATTCTTTTAATTCACATTTTGTTAAATCCTTCCAATTTTAAATTTGGCATTGCTTCTGTGTTCATCACTGTGGATAAAAATTTTGAAAAGGATATGGCCAGCAAACGTGTTCAAGATGCCTCCCAAAATAACACAATTTATCAATACTCTATGAGATTTTAACCTAATCAAAAGATACAATTGTATCATCTAACCAACACTTTTCTCTATACCCAATTTGTCTGTGAAATATTAGAAGGGACTCAAATTTCAACTACAGCACTCCCTTATAGATCAGCAGGTACTATGACCGTAATAAACCAAGCCTAGTTATAAACGATGCTCTCTTTGTAAACATGTACTGGCTCTCAGTGATAACTTTCTCCTTTTAAAGAGTACATATCATTCATATTTTTTAATAAAAACATCACAGATAAAAGTGGAACTACTCTATAACACAGCCACACTCCTAGAAATAATCAAGAAAGCGAGGAGATTTTCTGATGTAAATAAACAACATCTACAACAGAGAGTGCAAACTGACTATTTGCAGGCTGCATCTAGCCCAAGGGCATATTTTGTTTGGTCAATACTGTGTTGTTTAATTAAGTAAGTTGCCAACTTCCAAATCTGAGATAATTCACTGTAAAAATCTGGACTTCTTGTTCCTCTCAAAAAATCAAAAGAACTGGTA